ATAATCTCATGGGATCTCTATTGTATAAACTGTCCATCATTAATCAAAATGTCATTATGTGGCACATGAGTAAATACATATATACACATGTACAAGTGCATATATAATTACATTTTTATTGAGGTATACCATAAATGCACTAATCTTAAATGTGTATCTTGATGAAATTGTGTACAAGTATGTATGCAAGAAACCAGCACTCTTATCAAGGTACCAAGGACTTCTTTCCCCTTTCTTCAGTGTCCTAACACACCCAAAGTAATTGCTATTTTCACTTCTGTCACCATCGATTAGTTTTTACTTTTTCTTGGGCTTCATAGAAGTGGAATCATGTGGCACATCTTTTGTGACTAGGTTTTTATTCCAAAATAAATTCTGTCAGATTCACCCAATATGTTTTAGGCACTGATAATTCTGTTTTTTAAAAAGAACATAAACATTTATTGCTTTATAGAACTCTGTATAAGAAACTCAAGTATTTATACAAGTTGTTCAATTAAACATCATTTCACAAAGTCAGTAAACATATTACATTCTATAAAATCCACTTTCTAGAAACTTAAAAATTGTAGGTATCAAATAATATAACTGAAGAAAAGATTGTTTTGTTGGGTACCAGGAAGTGAACTCAAGACCTTGTGCTTGCCAGGCAGGCACTGTGCCACTAAGCTATATCCCCAGCCAGCTGAAGAAAAGCAATGCAATTTGGAAACCAGAAGTCTTGACAGGGAAGTTGCACTCACGTGACTAAACGTGAACTTTAAAAAAAGTTGGGTTTAGAGTAATTATTATCTTTTGCATTGATCCACATATAACAAATATAGCACTGATTGTCAAACAAGTATGTTCAATAACATTTAATTCACTGCACAAAATTGTCGGAATGTATCTTTAGGGGTAATTCACCCCTTGATTGCTATGTAATATTTTTCAGTAGGTTAAACTGATAACTGTGATTAATTACAGCTTACCTAAGTTGAACTAATTTTATTTTTGTAGATTTGTGGTGATAATATCAATTCAGTAATATTAGATGGCACGTAGAAAAACCCAAATAAACCCTTTATTCAGTATTTAAATCAAAAACATTACTCTTGGCTTCTGGATTGGTCTCTCAACTATTGGTTCCTACCAGTGTTTGCATGATTATTTTCTTGAAGTGTTGACAAATACCCTAGTAAACATTGATACCTTTACCTTTTTTAGTCAAAGTATCCATAGGTGAATTATCTGCTTTCATAAGTTCTACAAAGTATGAACCACCCCAAAGCATATTTACTGCTTGAATAATAGCTATTTTTTTTATCTTTGTCAGAGTGCAGCCTCAAGTCCAAGCTTTTAGTTTAGTTAGCGGAGCAAACTGGGAACTGGGTCCTGGCGCTGTTTCAGTGGCTGCATGTTCCATGGGAACTGTATATTCTGCACAGGGAATACCTTGTCATTTCATAGACAAAAGCCATTATGAACTATTTAAAACCCACATTGACCAAAGAGGGTAAGATTCAAATCTGAGCATACTTAACTCCTGAGAGGACACTGAACAGTCATGTGGTTTCCCTCTATTCCTAACAGGGAAAAAAGTTGCAAATTTGTTTTTTCAGGACTTGGGATTTAACCTAGGGACTCATACAGGCTAGGCAAGTACTCTATCACTGAGCTACAACCCTGGTCCTTTTGTAATTTAGTTTAGTATAGTTTAGTTTAGTTCAGTTCAGTTCAGCTTAATTTTAGTTTAGTTTTTGAGGCAGTGTCTTGTCTCAAAGTTTCTTTTCTGCCTCAAATTTGTGATCCTCCTGTCTCAGCCTCCTAAGCAGCTGAGACAGTAGGTATATGCCACCATGCCCACCTCAAGGTAATATTCTGAACAATGCTGAATATGAAAAGCAGAGGATAAAATTTCATAGGCAGGATATTTACTAGCAGAAACACTTTAAGTGCCTAGCAAACGCTGTACAGATGTGGGATCAATACTCAGTACAGAAAGACACAGAAGGGTGGAAGCATCACTTGGCTACTACTGCCGTCCCATACAACTAGAGATGAAGTTCCTTTATCCCTAAATCAAGAAATGTGCAACTATAAACAGAGAGAAGTGTTTGGCAGATTTAGGAAAAGCCCAATGTACAGGTCATTTCCAGAAGTCTTTCAAAGAGTAGAAAATATTTCCCACTGGTGTATCCCAGGGAAGACTTTCCAGGATTGTACACATGGTAAGCTGAGCTCTGGAGAGGACACAGATATCCTTATACAGAGCCCTAAAATATTCTAAGTCATCTTTTAGTTTTTGGCCTTAGCACAATTGATACTCTTTATTTTGGCTGAGGACAGAAACTTTCTATCTGGTGACAGATTGTGACCATTGTAGATTCTTGATAAAAGTTGAATTTTTCTCTGGATGCTTTTTGTCCCTTTTCAGTTAATTTAGTTAGAGGATATTTTGGAGTTTTTAGGTAAAAAATTTAGATTAAAAAACACAGGATGGACTCATGCAGAAAAATCAAATCCTTAAGATCATCGTCAGACGTGGAGAGAAATATAAAGATGATTCAAAACATCCCTGAAACTTAACCAACCAGGTATAGCAATTTTTCCATGAAGAAGAAAATATTGACTGTTCTTATGTAAAGCGATGCTGAAAAAAGCTGCACATAAATTTACCAGCGTGAAATGTCTGCTTGATGCGGGAACAGCCATCAGGACAGTATTCTAATGTCACCTATTTTGTTTGTGTTGCAATTAACCTCTGATGTTCCACATTTAGGTGTCACTATTGTCACCCAACACAGCAACAACACCTTTGAGCATAAGGCTTTTTCTGGATAGATTCCTAGGCGTGAAATTACCTAGCTAAAAAATATGACCATATAAGGGTCCTTAATATATATTGCTAAACTCTGAGGATTGTGTCAGCAATAAGTTAAAGGTTTTACTTTTATGCTATATTTGCCAGCACTGAATTTTCTCAGTTAAAATGAAAGGGTCAATTTCATGAGAGCAAATGGTATTTCATGTTTTTTTTGACTTCTTTATTCACAAAGCTGAATATTTATCTATATAGACGGATACTCAGTTGAATTTTCTTTTATGGGTTACTTATGTCCTGGAGCCATTTATCTATAGGGTGGAAGAGTATCAGTTAAGTTGTTGATAATGAGTTATTAATTTATTGCAAATGGCCATCTCCATTCAGTTTTACTGAAAAATCTTGTCCTCTGTTATTTATATGTTGTGGCATTTTTAAAATAGAAATTTCAGATTTTTATGATGTCAGCCCTGAACCTAATGATCTTCCATTGACTCACCACTTAGCTATTCCTTGTCCAAATAATTAATGTCCACTTACATTTCCTGGACATATTTGTGGGTTTTTATATTTACTTCTCAGTCCATCTGGGTTTTATTTTAGTGTATGACATCCCATGAGCTTTTAAACTGTGAAGACTATCCCTCTTTCTCCCATTCTGTCAGATTCAGAGTGTTGATTTTTCTTTTACTTCTAATTTCCTCCTGTCACAGGGGTAACCAGTTTATATACTGATCACTTGGATACCTTTTTTCTGAATATTTGGCCAATAAACATTTTCTGGTGGTAATATACCAGTTTTTAAATTTTATAACAGTCATTTTTCTTACTTCACAGAGATATGTGTGTATGTGTGTTTTAGGTGGATAAGTTTGCTAGAAACATTGTTAGATTTGTGTGGTAGCATTAATTGTATTAACTGTTTAACTATATTAACCATTTAAATAATAACATCTTTCAGATGGGCATAGTGGCACATGCATATAATCCCAGCGCTTGGGAGGCTGAGGCAGGAGGATTTCCATGAGTTCAAGGCCAGCACATAAGCAAGTGCAAGGCCAGCTTTCACTACATAATGAGAACTTATCTCAAAAAAAAAACCCCAAAATAATAATAATGACATGTTTCTGATTTTAAATTTTTTCATATATATGTATATGTATACACATATATATATTCATTTTCAAGCATAAGAAAACACAGATGTACCAAAAAGTTTATATATTGCCATCATTTATCTAAAATTTGATATAATTTATCTTTTATATCATGTAGAGTACATATAATTATTTTACACATTTATTTATTTGTGTACAATCTACTTAGGTAGATTGTAATATTCATATTGTATAAAAGTCACTTATTCAAAACTACAGTCAAATACTAACCATAATCTGTGAATTAATGATCTGGAAGAAATCAAACTAGTTAACCAGCTAATTGCCTTCTTTGGTAGCTTTAAACAATGTATACTTATAGTAAAGCTAGTCTATGTAGCCAAACCCACTTGGCGGGCTGTTTGAAAACTATCAATTAGTCACATGTTATTTGGAATGAACATACCCGCATTCATATTGCCTGAATCTCCCTTAGAAGGTGTCAGTGAAAGACAAGTGAATAAAAAGCAGTGGGCATTTTAGGTTCTCTTAGTAACTCCTAAATTACACCTGGGTTATGTTGGGTATGTAACACGCGTGTTTGTCTTTTTTAGGAAGTCATGCGGTTCCTAGACACCAAGCATCCAGACCATTATCAAGTCTATAATCTGTGCAGTATGTACATAGCTCAGTATTTTTCTACCATAGATATAGAAAAGAGATTACTACAGTAATAAGATGGTTCTGTTTTTTCATTTCATTTAATCGTAAGTATTTAGAAGTAGGGAGTTAGCTTAAAAAAAAAAAAAAAAGCCCACATCTTCGGCTGGCCCTGTTTGGTAGGAAAAGTTACCTCCCCAGCACAAAGTTCCTATGAGGGGACAGGAATGGAGGGAAGGAATGACAGTGAACCATTTAATAAGATCCGCCCTAATGGTACTAGGGAAGCATTTTTGGTTTCCATTCAAGACTGTGTTGACACAGACAACCCACCCAATGAGTCCTCCAACCTAACAGGAGAGGGTTGTGATAACAGCAGGGCGCTTGGTGCAAAAAACCCAATGGCAACAACAAGCCCTGTAGGAATCAGTGTCTACCCCATTTTACCACTCTTGTCTCTTGATATTTTTCCCCCTCTGTCTGTATATGCAGTAGACGTTTTCAGAGGGCAAGCATTTTGGTCAGCTGCATTTGCCTCTGCTCCACGGTTTCTAACTATCCTATAGAGATACGGTGAGTAGTCTGCCAGAAAGTTAAAAGTGATGCCTATTGATCAGAGTGGAGTTCAGGTTACCTGATGTAGACAAACCACTGGTAGCCTTACGTTTTCGAGACTCTTATGATTGTTTTAGAGCAGCAGATTTTGACTCAGAAAGCTCCTTTTGATGATGGATAAGGAATTTATAAGAGAAATTTTTAACTCATTTATAACTTCATCACTTGCTATGTTTTTAGGCACAGAGCTATAACATATGTATTATTTCTTTAAGGTGAAAGAGCTTATGATCCTAAGTACTTTCATTATAGGGTCCATCGAATCAAAATTGATGATCACAATGTCCCCACTCTGAAGTAAGTTTTATGCTACCTTGACTATCAGAAAAAGGCTCGATACACAGGGCTTGATTTTTTGGAAATATTTACATTCAACTAAAAATCTTGTGTTTGAAATCAGGGAGATGTTATTGTTCTCCAAGGAAGTAGAGGAATGGATGATGCAAGATAAGGAAAATGTCATTGCAGTTCACTGTAGGGGCGGCAAAGGTAATAATAATGTTTTTATTTTTATTTTTTTTTTCTAAAGAAATTAAAAAACTAGCACTGGGGGTATAGCTCAGTGGTAGAGCACTTGCCTAATACAGGTGAAGCCCTGGATTCCAATCCCCTGAGTTTTAGTTTGGCAGATTCATACATGCAGAAAACATACCTCAATCATTTGCACCTTCTGTTACCTCCCTTGCCCCACTTTCCTTCCTGGTTTTACGTGGGTGGGGGTTCCATGCACGTAAAATGTATTGTTCATATCCACCCTCACTGTTGTTCACCCTTACACACACACCCCTATTCCTGCTTTCTTATCCAATAATAGTTTCCTCTCTACTTTCTTCTCATCTTTTTAAAATTTCACATATTAAGATTGTGGGACATTTGTTTTTCTGAACCTGGCTTATTTCACACAATGTGATGGGCTCCAGATCGTCTGTAACTCTGTACTGTTTGTATTGTTCTTATGCTATTTTGTAAATGGATGTCTGTTTGTTAATATGTTTTCCTTCTTTCATTTTTTAAAATAAATTTTAAAAGAAGTTTCAGACCATAGTCAGCTGGCTCCAACGCAGAAAGGCATGGCAGAGGGGCATAGCAGAGGAAAAAATGTTCCCATCATGTGACCAGAAAGCAAGGTTCAAACAGAAGATCCTGAAAGAGAGATCCATCCTTCCAGGCCGTGCTCCCCGTGATCTGCCTCTTCCAACCAAACCTGAACTCCTATGAGCAAGTCAGCTTTATGATCCCATAATTTAATCACCTTCCAAAAGCCCCATCTATGAGTGCATGAGGATCTTGGGGGACATCTAAATATAAGCTGTGGCCCCCAAAAACCTCATGTACATCACTTGATGCAGAATGCATTTAGTCCATCTCTAAGAGTTGCCACAGTCTTAACGGTTCTAGTAGTGCAGAACAGTCCAAAGTTTCTTCTGAAATGTAAGGTAAACAACTAACTGTGAGTCCCTGTAAAAGCCAAAAGGAAAGTTAAACACTGGCAATATACAACGGCAGAGAGTGAAAATATCCATTCTAAAAGGGAGGAACAGGGGGGTAAAAACCAATGGGACCAAAGCAATACTGAAGTGCAGAAAGACAAACATTAGATCTTCTAGAAACATGTACAGCACCTAGGGCAAGTGGTGGTGAGATGGGAACTCCAAGCAATTTGAGCAGTCCTTCCCCTGTGGGAAGCTCCCATCCTATTTCCTTTGGACTGGGTTTGTTCACCACCTTTGGCTTACCTCGGACAGCCCACATTCTTTGCTTCTCCAACTTTCAAGGGTCTCCACTTCACTTTCTGCTTCACTCTAACAGCTTTATGCCCTGTCCTCTCAAGGGCACACTACGTGGCCTCCTTCTAAAATCTGGGTGGGAGCCTTTTTGACTCCACAATTTTGCATTCTACCTACCTGTAAAACCAGCACTATGTAGATGATGCCAAGTGTTACCAGCTTGAGCAGTAGCCAGGACCCCTTGTATCATGGTTGTAGAGGCCTCTAAGTGCCTGAATAGGTGAGGACTGTGACCTGAATCTTGGAGAGCAAATTCCCTATGCAGGCCTTCTTGGACAGGGTGCCCGGGCTCTCTTCTCAAAGTAAAGTCTTTCTTTTTTTTAACCTGAGAAGGGTGAGGTCTTTTGGATTACCTACATGCCCTCAAAGGAGCTTTCTTATTGTCTGGATGTAAAGTATTTCACTTCTTTTTGATGCCAATCTTTTTAGCAACCTTGTTCTTCTGTGCTCCAATTTTACAGGACTTTCCTTTCTGGTAAAACTGAAAACTTTTCAAATATTTTTTTTACATCTGATTTTCTGTACAAATGACTAAAAGCTGTCAGAAGTACAAGTGCTAAACTTCCTTGAAATTTCTTCTGCCAAATTAGTCTGCCTACCTTAATCTCAGTCTCATGCAATGTCTCAGGACATGAGCAAAAAACATAGACAGATTTTCTGCCAGAGCATAACACACATGGCTGGTAGCCCAACTACTAATGTAGTCCTTATTCCCAGATGAAACATCTCAACCCTCATCTTTACAGGTTGCATTTCTGTAGCATTCTAGTCTTCTGAGCTCTGACCAGTATCTCCCATCAAAGTTGGCATATAGCATTTGAGGGTTTCTCTAGCTGTCATCTCCTAACTTTTCTAAATTCCTCCCACAAGCCAGTTCTAAAGGCTTTTAAACCACAGGGGCAAGTAAGTCACAGCAATGACCTCACTTCTGTACCAAAATCTGCCTTACTCACTTTCTCATTACTGAGACACAATACCTACAATACTCACAGCTTTTTTATTTTGGTACTGGGAATAGAACTCAGGACCTTACACTTTCCAGACAGGTGCTGAACACTCACAGCTTAAAGGAGATACTTATTTTGACTCACGTTTCAAAATTTTAGTCCATAATCAGCTGGCTCTAAGACAGAAAGACATGGCGGAAGGACATAGCAGAGGAAAGACTGCTGACACTATGATGGCCTGAAAGCAGAGAATGAAGGGAAGAGATGGGAAAGGAGAGATGCCCTTCCGGGTCATGCCTCCTGCTGATCAGCCCCCACCTGCCAACAGCGAGTCAGCTATATCACCCTCATATTTTAATCACTTTCCCACCTATCAGTGCACATGGCCTTTAGAGGATAGCTAGAGAGAAACCATAAGAAATGTATGCCCCATGCTAAAATTATTCTGTCTTGGGGTAACAAGTCTTGAAATGTAATTATTAATGTTACCTGTTTTCCAAAATAGTTGCACCTATTTGTACTCCATTGACATTGAGTGAGAGTTCCAAGTGTTTCTCATCTTCACTGATACTTGGAATAAGTATTCTATTATTTTCAACCACTGCATAGTGTGTGTAACGTCTAGATATGATTTTTGTTTGCATTTTTATGATCACTGATAAGATTAAGGATGTTTTCATAGGTTTATTTCTCAGTTGGTTATCCTTTTTTTGTGAAGTAACTGTTTCATTTTCTTCCCTGTTTTACTCCTGAAATTATTGCCTTTTTCCTATTTGTAGGAATTCTTTGTATATTCGTATTCTATTTTCACCTTGTTATTGGTTACATGTATTGCAGAAAAACTTTTCTGCCATGTGCTTTTCTTTCTCTCCTAAGATTTGTCCTTTCATTAACAGAAGGTCACAGTTCTAACAAAGTCATATGTTATCATTTTTTAATCCTTATAAGACCAGTGTTTCATATCCTAAAACATTTTCCTTAAATTAACGACTTCTGTTTGTAATGTAACAAATTATTATTATTATTACTATAACTATTATAGTTCTTTGAAATTTGTTTAGATCTGATTCATGACCCAAAATTTAGTCAAATATGTCAAATGTTTTCTGTGCGCCTGAAAAGGCTATAAATTATTCATTGCTGGAACAATGTTTTACGTATTTATGTGTTAATAGTTTTATCCAAATCTTTTATATACTTACTAACTTTTATTTTGCTTTGAACTTTTAATTTTTTATTAGTGCATGTTTATAGTACATAATGCTTACATTCATCTTAGGGTGTGGGAAATGTACATAACATGACTTCATTCTTTTCTTTCATTTCCTCAACTTCCATCTCTAGATCCCTTTCCCATTTGCAAAAATTCCAACTCCTTGTTCCTTTTGTCTACTTTTCATTTACTTTTAAAATTATTTATATGTTGGGTTTCTCATAGAAGAGAAACCATGTGATATTTAAACTTCTGTGTCTGATTTATTCCACTTAAAATTATGATCTCTAGATGCATCCATTTTCGTACCACATTTTTTCTTTATCCAGTCATGCGTTGGGGAATATATTATAGACTGCTTCCAAGATTTAGCTATTGTGAGCTGTGCTGCTGTAAGTGGGTATGTCTATATCACTGCAGTATGATGTCTTTAACCCATTTGGGAAGATTTTTAGGAGAAAAATAGGTAAATCAAACAGAATTTCTAGTTTTAATTTTTTGAGGAAAAATCATTACTGATTTCCACATGGCTGTGCCAGTTTACATTCCAACCAACAAGATAGGGTGTCATTTCCTCCACAACATCACCAGGAAGTGTTCATTTTTTTTTTTTTATGCTGATCATTCTTTCTGGAGTAAGTGGAATATTAGTGTTGTTTTAATTTGCATTTCTCTAATGGCCAGACACCTTGAGTACTTTTTCATTCATTTATTGGTCATTTGTACTTCTACTGAGAAGTATCTATTTCAGTAGCCCATGATTTGATTGGATCTTTTATTTGGGGAGGGGTATCTGATTCTTCTGAGTTCTTTATAAATTCTAGATATCAGTCCTCTGTCAGAGGCATAACAAGCAAAAATTTTCCCCATTTTGTGGGCTGTCTCGTCACAACATTCATTGTTTCTTTTGCTATGTAGAAGCTTCAGTTTGATACAGCTCCATTTATTGATTCTTGAAACTACTATTTGCACAATTGGGATTCTGTTCAGAAAGTCCTTTCCTGTGCCTATATTTTCAAAAGTTGTATCTAACTTATCTTCTAGCAAGTGCTTTCTGTTTTAATATGTAGAGCGTTGATCCATTCTGATTTTAGTTTAGTACATGGGGAAAGATATAGCTCTGGATTCAATCTTTTGCACATAAATGGCCAGCTTTTCCAGCACCATTTGCTAATGGGGCTATCTTTCCTCCAGTGTGTATTTCTGACTCCTTTGTCAAAGACCAGATGACTTAATGTACCTGGGGCTATTTCTTCATCTTCTATTCTATTCTATTCCATTCTATTCTATTCTATTCCACTCTACTCTACCCTACTCTACTCTATCCTATTTCATTGATCTACTTAATCTGCATGAATGCTATTGATTTTTCTGCTTTTGTGCAAATGCCATGCTGTTTTTATCACTATAGTATAACTTGAGAGCTTGTTTGGAGGTCCTAGCAAGGGAGCACAGCTACTTCCCTTGACCTAGGAAATGGCCCTTCGCTATGGGGGTGGAAAGCATCCTCTTTGATCAAGTGTGCAGCTTAGGGAGGGATGC